TCGGGAAAAATTTACGGGGATGATAGCCCCTTTGATTAGCAAATTTGCTATTTCCTCGTCCATCGCGTCCTCTGTGCACTTTGTTGGAGGAATAACTTTTTGATGCGGTTCCGACAGGAACTCCAGTTGATAACCCCGAACTGTGTTTAAAACCTGTTGGTCCTGAGTGATACTTTGCCACTGGTGAAGGAAAAGGGGCAGCCGAGCTGTTCGCTGAGACATTAGCGGGGCCAGTTGCGATTGTACTGGTCCCGCCTGCCACGAAAATTCTGGGGCTTAACATTAGCGGAAAAAGAGCCTCGCTGGGGCCTCGTTGACCTGTGTTGGGTAGGCTCCGGAAAATTATATTTGTTTGCTGGGTGGGCTAGTGCCGCGGAACCGCCACCTGTAGGGTTTGGTTTTACATTGTATGGTTGCTTTTGCAAGTTTTTAGTAAGGCTCCGCGATAACTCGGAGTGCTTAGCTGCTAGGGAGGGCAAATCGTCCCCAAATAACATTTTCCCAGCATTGGGAAATTCACGATCAGCTAGTTGTGCCTTATCAGGATTAATCGCACCCAAAATCTTCTTCCGACGATTTGTTGTCACAATATGATTGGCAGAGCCCAACAAGCACAGCGATTGCTGTAGAGTGTTCAATAATCCTCGTTAGAAATCGTAGCCTGTTGTTCAAGGCGGTCATGTAGGCAACAAAGAGGGCCTGCTGAATTTAGTAGTGCGCGTTGAATTAGCGCCAAATCTTTGTCGCGTTGTTCGACGAATTTTTTGCGATTAGCGGGAATGTAATTTAAAATCTGTTTGTCCAGTAAAGGAGCATTACAAGCGTCGATCTCAGGGAGAGAATTTTCTCCGATAATTTCGTTAACTTGGTCTAATGTTAGGCGTGTGCTTTTTTTTTCAAGAAATTTGCCAAAGTGGTCTGAGGGAGACCATCGTCGTCGAGCGGAGCTCTCAGGGTCAAAAAACTCGCAAGAAGCTTCTTCTGCCGAAGCGACAGTGTTGGGGTTAAATTTATCGTTTATATTTGTCGGCTCAGCGCTGTCTAAAGGTGGCATAGAGCCAACTAAAGGTGCCTCAAAGGCCGAGTTGTTGTCGAATTCCTTCGGCGAGTCCGATGGGTGAATTGACAATTGATCATCGTCGAATTCGCCAAGACCTGCTGAGGTTGTGCTAGCGTTGTCGCTCAATTTCGACTCAATGGCCGATACACGAGTGGTCCAAGCCACAAATTGTTGCTTCATATCGTTGACACGAGCTTCGGTGTTATTTTCCCGCCTTCGTTTGTGGCGATGAGCTCGATTTTCCGAGTCTTTTGGCGAAGATTTTTCGCTGGGAGAAGACATATGATCACTACGATGACGTTTCCGAGTTGAATTATCAGACATCCTAGAAAACTAAGGCTTGAAGGCAAGATAAAAACGTGAAATCATGTGACCCGGGCTTGTTTTCTTTTTCTTTTCTCTTCATTTCCGGTTCCGGAAACGTTGAAACGTGAGTTAGAGCACGGTAAGACAAGCTTTACCATTTGTTTTCCCATATATTTCGACCGGAGTTTGTGAAGTATAATTCCAATATAATAGACGACTTGCGCTTTAAACTAATTTCTTATCTCGGCGATAAAAAGGACATTTTCTGAAAGAGCTTACTAAAATTAGTGAAACTGTCAAGTTTGGCAGCGAGTTGTGGTAAATTACGGAAAATATAGCCATGTGAAGTTGACGAATTTTGTATACTTTTGTATTACCGCCGGAAGTTTGTAACTAATTTAGTTACACATTTCCACACGTAATACAAAAGTATACAAAATTTGCCAACTTCGCATGGCTATATTTTCAGTATTTTCCAAAATTTCGCAGCCAAACTTTGCATTTGCACTAATTTAAGTAAGATCTTTCTATATAGCTGTGATCATTTATTTTCTTCTAGTTACTTCGATCAAAAATTAGTCTAAAGCGCAAGTCGTCCATTCCATTAAAAAAATTAAAACCATGAAACAAACAAAAAACCAAATTTCTTTCAAATTCGCTCTGTATCTGCAGTGATCTGGCGAGTCACCCGCGAATGAAGGCAAAATTTGCGGGCCCGCAAATTTTGGCTTCATGAAAACAATCATAATGTAGCGTTCCAGCTATTTATTTCAGTTCACTGGCTAGACTAGTGGTGCGGGCTATGTCTTGAATCTAACTGGGTTTCGGCTTATATAATCTGGTTCATTCAGCGATCCTTTGTGATAAATTACTCTAAAGGTAAATGCTTGTAAGCGCATCTTCCACTTTTCGATCCGTGGGGGGTTTGATTTGCATTGTTAAATATTGATTCGAATGCTTTATGGTCCGTTATATATATGACATCAAATTCGGATCCCAGTAAAAATATTCTAAAATGTTCGATACCCCAAACTAAGCTAAGTCCTTCAATGTCAGTTTGTGAGTACCATTTCTCCACTGGGCTGAGAGCTCTGCTTGCACACGAGATTATTTTGTAATGCCGACTGTTCTTTTCTTTTTGGGCTAAAATTGCACTTATTCCATGTCGTGATCCATCCGCTATCACAATACTTCGTTTCTTTGTATCAAAATACGTCATGACTGGTGTACTTGTTAATCGTTTTTTAAGGTGTTCGAATACTTTCTGGTGCTTCAATGTCCAGTTAAAAGCTACGTTTTTCTCAGTGGTGATGTTATTAGTGCATAGTCTGGTATGTACTCATGACAAGTGTTTGCCATTCCGAGAAAACTACGAACTTCGCCAGCATTCTAGGGAGCTGGTACTTTCACAAGATTGGCTATCCGTTCGGGATCGGGTTTTGTACCCTCTGCGCTGAATTCTAATACATGAAATGTTCTTTCTTTTTTTAGAAATTTTCTATCCTTTTACTTTCAAATTTAGGCATTCTAAACGATTAAAAGTTTTTCAGAGCCTCGTCATGTGAAATAACGCTTCGTGTGTGGAAAACGTTGTAAAAAACGACTTTCCGGATGTAGTTCCCATTTTTCATTATTCTGTTCCTTATCGGGTTGTTTTTCTTCCTGCGTGTCCGGTAAACCTGAGATTGTGTTGATTAATTGTACTAATGTGTGATCTTGTGCTGTTTTTGCACTCAGTAAATTGCCACCTGTACCCTCAATAACGCATTTTTCTCTTCCCTCCGCGGCGAGTAAAAACAACATCACAAGAGCCCAGGGTACGAGGTTGTCATTCACTGTGACCTTTTATCTCCACATACATATGAAAATTTCGTATAACCTCTTCTTGAGTCTTGATCCATAAAATTAATATAGGTCTAATTCCTGCCAACATGATATCGGCGGAACTAGAAGCTGGTGTGCCAACGCAAACAGGTTAGTATGATTTCTACGATTTTTATTATCTCATGCAGGATTAGAACGCAATTTACTCCTGAAGGGAACGCCGATTATGTTTTGGATAAAATTACTCGCTTTAGGCAACTTAGCCTTAGGATGAAATGCAGCGAATCAAAATATTCAAGATGGGCCGATTTCGGCGATTTGTTTATTCAAAACGTAATCAGCATTTTGACATAACTCATAAGGATAAGTTATAGTCCTTTATACAAGGCAGAGAGGATCAGATCTCTTATACAGATAATGTTTCTTTTATGTTGTTCTTCATGCACATATATAGTATATGTGTTAAGACTAAAATTATTTCTGTAGCGGATTTTTGACTACATGAATAAATTACCTACTTCCAATAATACTATCAGAATAAGCTATTGGTATATTCTCCACTGGTATTCTCAAATTATAAGGTCTCCGAAAAACACGCAAAACCTACGCGAATATACCGGTCACGTGATTGATATTCAGGTATTTATGTATATGTATGCACACGACAACCTTTTCGGCAACGACTGTATATAAACGCAAGTTACATCGTTTGATAATGCTAGAATATGGTCTACACCGTCTCAAAATTTTCCATCGGATTGAGTAGGGTACATTTAAATCCTTAAAGCGACTTTACACTTTTTACTACCACATTTAACCATCCCTTTAACTGAAAATTCAACTCTTTGCAATTTAGCCCTAACCAGATGATCTTTAAGGCTTTTAGATCTTTGAAAACATACCATAGGTTGTTCAGGCATAACGCTCAAAAACTGCCCAGACAAACCTACAATATTTTGCAATAAAAATACCATAAAATTCACGCAAAGCCCGGTGAACTCTCTTATCACTTATTATATCCCATGTGTACTTAATATCTTCATGAAAGAATTCAAACGGAGAAGGAAATTATCAAGTACCAAATTTTAATTCACTTTGGGTGCTTGTTTTGATAACCCTGGGAAACGTATTTTCAAATCCCAGAAGCGTAATTAGTTGCACTGTCATTGAAATTCTAAAGTTCATACAAATTATGGTATTTGCAGTTTTTTTGATACACCCTGTACAGGATGTCTCAGGACAACGAATCATATCGGCTTTCAACTTCAACATAGTCTTCATCTTTGTTCCCGTCAATTTGTTTGATCGGTTGTTGTTTTGGTGTGAAAAAGCAATCGTTGCAGCACGATACGCAAGCATGTTCAATCCAGCCGTCAGTTTCCTCGTCTAGTTCTGGCACAGAACACTCTGAATGGTTATAAACTACGTAACTTAACGCATAACTTAAGCTTCGTTAAGTCCACGAAGCAACAATGGCTGGATCATAATGGATAATGTGGTACAAAAAACAGATGTATGCATTTTATACGAGTCAATTTTATTAGCCGTCTAAACTAGTGTCGCGCTTATGTCGAATTATGTGACAGGGGCCGGTTGTATCAAGCCCGTTTAGCTTAAACGGTGGATAAGTCCAAAATAGAAAGCAAGTCTATCGTTTTATTCAACAAGCGAACTAAATGTTTTTGACTATAATACAAAGATACTGTTACAACTACATATTCAGTGTATAATATTCAAGTTGACTCATTTAAGAGAGATGTAAGAGTGTTATTTAATTTTGACTTATCCGATGTTTAAGCTAAACGGGCTTGATACAACCGGCCCCAGAGCTTGTTGCAAAATTCAACAGCGTCGAATTTAATGTGCCGCGTCGAATAAAAACAGTTTAGACGTCGCATTTCAGTCGAAAAAAAGGCGTCGCACTTCAGTGCATTAAATGCGACGAGTTAAATTTGACTAAAATGCGACGTCTAATCTAGGCCTAAAGCGCAATAGATAAGCACCTCTGGGAATTGAAAAGCTTAATCCTTCATTTAAAATGCCAAAAGTCATTTTAGCTGAACTATGGTGCAAACCCGCGAACAATATTAATATTCTTGCATATTTGAGTGGTTGCGTTTTTTTTGAGACACCTGTATACATTCATACGGTTTAAGTGTTTTCAAAACAACATAATTCTTTTCTGAGCAACCGCGACTTCTTTGCACTTGATGACTTGTTGACAGTTTTATTCAATGTTTTATTTTCTGTATACTTACCTGCGATTAGAGCAAGTATACAGGGTGTCCCAAAAAAACCCGAAAACTATTGAAATCACTCATTGTTAAAATTTGAATGCCGTGTTCACGAATTTCAGCCCGTGGGGATTTAATGCAACTTATAAAATGCTAAATGCTTTGTGTTGCTAGAGAAAGGGGACATGTCGAAGGTCATGCTCCTTTAGATGCATATTTAAATAATGTTATCCATATTTGTAAATTGTAAATATTGTTAGTAAATATCATTTTTGCGAACAAGCAAATTTACTGCATCATATGCAAGCATAAAAATGAGTATGGTAAACATTTATACACCTGTGGGTCCCAACAGAGTGCTTAGGCATTCAAACTCTAACGATTGCATTGTTATGGGTGATTTCAATAGTTTTCGTTTTTTTGGGACACCCTGTAGAAATACCGGAAGAAAACTACATAATATTAAACGAGAGGTAAACCCTTTGTTGCAATCATTCGCCTTAATTGTTAATTGAGGGTTTCAACAAAATTGGTAGCCCTTGCAGCCTTAAAATTATACTCTTTTCTTCGTTTCCTAACATTACAACTTGACGAGGAGGCATTGTCCGTAACAAAGTCAAAGCTGTTTGCAGAATATTTTAAAAGCATTTACATAGCAAGCAAAGGGCTATACACATGCAACTCTCAAGAGTGCATTGCTTAAAATATACTGCAATTGATATCATCATGGTAATTGACACGCTAATTGTTCATGCATGATCAACTTTTCCGTAAACAAGTCGTCTGGGTTTGAAGTTTTATTTGTTCCTTGTCATGAATTGTTTTTGCTAATCGGCTTGGAACGGAATAAAATTATCACATTCGTCTAAGTGCTTGTCGAAAATTCATATTTAAGGTCTCATCCAGTAGCCACGCGAGTTTAAACGAATGCAGACAACTGAGTCGCTCGGTTGATGAGGCTACTCGTTCGTTCTCGTTGAATTGTGCATGTTCACTTATTCGACGAAAAGAAAGCAATTCTCAAGGAACTCGATAGGCAAATCATTGATATATGCGAAATTACCGACATTGATAGGGAAATTGAAGAAGCTGACGATATTTTGTCTCGAATTATGGACATGCAACAACAATTCCCGAAACTCCGACCGTGACGGCACCGCTTCCCCCGTCGTCGAATAGTCCTACCACTCTGAATACGATGCCACTAATTCAGCTCGAAAACGAAGGTGCTGGTTCAAGTTCAAATGAATTCGTACGAGTACGACCCATTCCCCATCGATCAATAACTCTACAATACCTGTAGTACAGCAACAACGTTTTTCCAAATTGCCAAAATTGGTTCTGCCCAAATTTAAGAGAGATATTACCCAATTCTGATCTTTCTGGGACAGCTTCGAGGGTGCTGTGCATAAGAACCCTGTCTTATCCGTTATCGATAAGTTTAACTACTTAAGATCACTGTTAGAGGGCCGTGCGTTTCGTGCCGTACAGGGCCTTCCTATTACCAAAGGAAACTATCAATCCACCGTTGACATTTTGCAGCAACGTTTTGGAAAATCCCAAGCTATTATTTCAGCTCATATGGAGGAGCTTATAAAAATCCCCAGCTTGTACTGTGGACAAACCCGCTCAAATGCGATATATTTACGATAAAGCCAGTGTCCATGTTCGAGGTCTAGAAGTTGCCCAATGGTATAATGGCTAAGTTGCTCAATGATATTAGAATACAGATTGCACGACATACAACACAGGACATATGGAAGATTGACGCCATACTAGATATCATCTTGAAGGAAGTTGAAGCCCGTGAAATTAGTGACAGCGTTAAGGTGGGTGATCCTGATCACCGTAGGCCTAGAATACTATCCGCACAAGCGTTGGCTGCTCAAGGATTCCCTGGGAAATCCATCGTGTGGGTGTATTGCAAGGAACATCATTACTCAGCCTCCTGTGATAGAAACGAATGTGAATGCAAGGAAGGAGATGTTAAAGAGTGATCGTAAATGTTTTGTTTGCTTGGGAAAAAACAACTGCAGCAACAAATGCGATCCGAATCGAAAGTGTAGAAGATGTGGTGGGGGTCATCACCAATCCATTTGTCAAAGGTTTAATCCACCTGATCCCTCAAATCCGAACAAGAGTCCAATCAAGCCTGATGATAAACCTCCATCTAACGAAGGCAATGCGGCAACCGATCGTGATTCTCGAGCCTCAACTGCGACCGCTGTTGACCAACCCCAAGTCACCACCACCGCCACCAAGAGTCACCATCAAATTCTCTTACAGACCGCAGTCACCTATGCTAAATCGTTTGATGGTCCCAATGAAATTCCTGTACGTGTTCCATTAGACAACGGAAGTCAAAGGTCGTATGTTACCACTTCTTTGAAACGAAGACTGGGTCCAGTAACAATAAAAACGAAGAAAATCAACTTGAATACCTTTGGTGATGACAAATACCGGGTGTCCCAGAAAAAAGTACTCCGGTTTGATTCATAATAGCTTCTAAACTAGCTAAGCTATTAGGCTGAAATAACTTTCCCTAGATAGAGGAAAGACTAACTTAGATTTTGATATATTACAGTTGTATTTTACTTCAAAATTTACGGAGATATCAATGTTTAAAAATTGGTAGCATATTTCTGGATGTGTCTAAATTATGCAAAAAACGCCGTATCAAATATTAATAAAGCTTTTCTCAACTGAAACATGCACTATTAGCAGTAAATAAATGACACTTGACAAATTGTTTATTATGAAGTATTATTTAATGAAGAAAATAATCGAGCCTTTTTGCAATTACACATATAACAGTATCAGCGCTATCGAAAAATGTTGGATGTCCCTGGGGAGTTGCATGTTGTGCCTTATGAGTTATGGAATTATGGTTTGAATGTGTTTTATTTTGAGTTTATC